AACAATTTTCACTTTCTTAACACATCTTTTGAAGAGCCACATGTTAGTTACTTCTCTGCTCTCCACCATAAAGATTCTCTCCAGACATCCAGGCTTTACTGATCAGTTTTATTTGCAGTCCTACTTTGACAAATATGAAATGTCTTCAGCTTGTTAACAGCGTGCATGTAAAGCAAAGCTCTGTTAAAAATCATTAATTTTCTGCGCTAGTAGAAGTAAAAATAAAGCAAGCAACCATCTGTACTCTTCACTGTTAGGCAACATTTGTTATCCTCTTATTGATGTGATCTCAAACTGACTGGCTAAAACCAATATTTTGGATACAGGGCAGATGGAATCAGCTGCAATGTGGGGTAGAAGTCTTTTTGCTCCCTAGACAACAATGCAGCAAGTCTCTATTTCTCTACACATGATCCCAAGTACATCATCCCCTTTGATAGTATTTATCTTTATGAGCAGGTCCCAGCCACCCCATTACTGGTATTTTCCTTGAACATAATAGCTGCATATCACCATCTACGCATACTATGGAAAATCCCAAATCTTTTTATCCACTTATTCATGCAAGTGAAGAAAGACAGGAAACTCTGTCAAATATCCAAGTAGTCCTAAAGACCATCCATGAATTAAATTATAAAGAGCAGGGAACAAGGGAAAAAGGTCCTTGCACTTTTTTCAGATTTTGAACCAAAAACTTATGGAATGCCACAATACACCTTAAGCCACATTACTTCGGGGAAGAAAAAAATAAAGCTGCACAGTTTGACAATTGCAGTGCATCTAAAATGCAGAACTGGAAAATCCACAGAGGCTGAAGAAGTGCCAAGGGAAACAGTGGAATTTGCTAGAAGCTTTGAATTGCAAATGCAAGGGGAAATCCTCTGCTGGAAAATATATTCAAACTCTATATACAGAGCAGATGAATGCCAGAAGAAATCTGATACCTTTCTCTCCCTTTTCACCTTTTGTCTTTCAACCTTTTTTTTTCCTGTCTCACTACTTCACCTTTCCTTATCTCTTTTTGTTCCCCTTATTAGCTGTGCTTTGTCACTGCTTTTACTTTCTTACAGAGACAAGAAAACTCAATATTTATTCTGCAGAACATCTCAAAAAAAGGGCTCAGTTTTTTCCAGGGTACAGGGGAAGTCCCACAAGATCACCCATATTAGCAGTTCCTCCTCATATTCATCTCTGGTGTTTTTATTTGTCCGGTGCAGGAGGTTCCATCTGTTTTTCCCCAAGGTTATCCCCCTCACCCCTGCAGTGGAAGGAGCATTCACAAACAGCACCACAGCACAGGGCAGCCCTGCTGGGACACACCACCACCCTCTGCTTTGCTCCTCAACCTAAGTGCCACATGCAGATGGTTGGAAAACTCCTGGAATGAGAGAGAATCTGCAGTACAAGCCCCAAAAACCCAGATTCAAGGTATGAGCACAGATGTAAATAAATGATGGATGAACCACTTACTTAGCTTAACATTAAGAGCTAATCTTACTGTCCAGGAGAGCTTTAAATCAAAGAACAGACAAAGTTCTTTCCTCAGCAATGGGAGCATATCTCCAAGTGCCATGCTAAGCTCACTGTTTTAATAATTAGGGGTCTGATCCTGTACCAGAGAAGTCACTGATAGCCTTCAAATGAACAAAACTGATGCAAAAGCCATGGGATCAAAACCATGCATTCCAAAATTGCAATCCAACACAATTGCACAGTTGTCTGATGTCATCTTTTCACTGTGAAAACTGATTTGCAGGTTCTGGCCATGCTTAGGAAAGGAGGAGCAGCAGAGCTTTTATTGCTGCATTTACAGGACAAGCAGTTCAGTTGACCAAGCATTTTGGGAGCTATATTGCTCTTGTAGGTACACAATTCATTAAATCCTATTGTGGTGTCATTTCCCCTTGGAATGGGAAATGCTGCACAAAACTTCAGTTCTGTAAGTTTAAAGCAAGTAACCAGTGCAGAATTTGGCACGTGCCTTCTCATTAAATCAGAGTACAAATGCCACACACTCCAGTATCAGTAACTAGCAGGCTGCTTCTGGGAGATAGCAAAGGTTTTCCTAATTACAATTTATAACCAGAAAGGCACCCAAAAATCTGTTCCTCATTTGCCCAAGCACATTAAGCAATTAAAAAAAACCCCAAGCCAACAGCCAAAAACAAAACAGAATTTCAATCTTGCCTTAGCAATCAGATCTAGATATCTAAAAACTAGAACTCCAAGAGTTATATCACGTACACAGCTGGTGGACAACTCATAGGTTGCAGCAGTCAAACCTGGATTAATTAGACAGGAACAGACACTGAGAGGTTACACATCATGCAACACATATGTGGCAAAGCAAAAAGCAGGTCACAGTGTGTTGGGGATGCAACACTAATTAAAAATAATAAGGCAGCACCATGCTTTAACTTTCTCTGTGCTGCTGCTGAGAAGTGTGAAAATCAGACTTTGTCTTTCTATGAACCACTCTCTTCCCGGTTTCCTCACCTTTAAGATTTCCCCTTTTTGAAACACTGGATTTGTGAGGTAAACATGTATCTATGCGCCAAATTCTTGTAGGCAAAGTATGGGCCTTCCTGGGGTAGCCTGAATGGCATCTTTTAAGCAAGCATGAGCACTGTGCAACACAGCAGCAAATGACTTTGGGATGGCATAACACGGCCAAGTGAAACTGCAAGGGTAGGGCGCATCAAGAAGGGGATCCAGGGGACACCTGGGCTGATCTAACAATTCACTGCTACCAGAAGGATTAACCCTTCCCAGCAGCGTGGTCCAGTCCCATTTCTGCCCTGAGCCCTGGCACCTGTGTCAGCCCAGAGCCAGTTCAGCTGTGCCAGCCTGCAGCCAGCCCCCGTCCCTCCTTGCTGGGCCAGTTCCAGCAGCAGTGCCCTGCTCAGGGCCTGGGCCATTCCATGGAACAGCCCCACACTCCTCAGGCCTTCTGAGATGTACTTGTTAGCTTAGTTGTCAAGACAATTGTCATTGTGTCCTCTAGAAAATTTCTGTCTTTTTAGTCTTTGCCATTTCTGTGCACACACCCAGGTGTAACTCACATATAATGCCTCTTTTTGGTTTGCCAGCACATGGGGCAGGATGCAGGTGTGGAAAGGGATTTCAAGCCAGCCTTTCTGGTGCTGTGGTGCACCCCAGTTTTTTATTTTGTGTGTGTCTCTCTCAGCAGGCTGACTACACTAGATTACATTGAGCGGCAAATGCAACCCATGCACCGTGCTGCTGTGATACAGAAATTTCATTTCACTTTTGTTGTTCTTGTGCACCACTGTAAACGATGGGAGATGCAGAATCCAACCAGCCCCAATGCTCAGACTGCATAGTTCTGTGTTTTCCTCAGATTTCCCCTTTTAGAAGGTGGTTTACTTGGACAAAGAGGTGTCTTTGTCTCACCCTCGATTATGAAATTCAAATGACAGCCCTTGCCTTAGGTGCTGCTTCTGCTTTTCCTCTCTGCTTCTTTCATTTCTCCTCCCTGCTGCTACACTGGAGTGAATAATGCATTTTTTAGCTAATTTCCGTGGATTAGGCTCCCAATTAATTCAAGCCAGTTTCACACACTGCCAATTCAGGTTGCTAAAATTCAGTTGGAGTTATTAGGGTAGGGTGAGGGGGTTTCCCATCAATTTTTCCCAGATTAACTCCAAGAATTCAGTGGAAACAAATTAGTCATTTTTACACGTGAGTGTATACCATCAAGTATCTGCAGGATTTGTTTCAGCCCTAACTGAAAGCACAAATTACACTCTTCCTTTCTAAAAGGCCCAAACATGGTTTCACACCAACTGACAGTGGTAGTAATTAATGTGAAGGATCCCTGGGGTCTTTTAACCTCCTTTCTTAGCTTTTGATGGCTGAGACAGCACAACCTGTGTGCCATTTAACCATCTATAAAACTGAGTGGGGAAAAGCATTTAAACACGACATTGAGTTTTCTTTAAACTCTCTAATGAGCTCTAGATAAAGCAGGGAGGTTTTTACTGTGGATTTTAAGAAACACTTTTTCCCCCTCAATTGTTCTCCCTAGGGCTGAGCATTTCTGTCTCTTCACAGGCAGATGAAATCCAGGGACAGCTCCCACAAAATCCAAGAGCACTGATTATGTGGAACAGGATTGCACATTAAAAATCTGCTGCTGGACCATTTTACCCATTTCATCAGCTTGGTGCAGTTTGCCCTGTCTCTTTTCAGATGTAAAATTGTGACAACTGTTTTTCCTTTGTTTCTTTCTTTGCTGCAGATTTGCCAGCTACTCCAGGGTGGTTCAGAATTATTAGCTCATTCAAACAATGCAGCTTTATGACACTTTACTTAAATCAGCTAATCCCTGAGAGAGATAGTAAGGACTATCAGTTGGACCTGGGGTTGGGAGCTAAATTTTGCCACCAAACTGTGATATTGGACAAATCAGTCAACCTTCTCTAGCCTAAATCTGTGTAATACCTCAGGAAGGAAGCATCCCCCTGGCAAAGCACTTCAATATCCTTTAACAATGGAGCTTGTTCTAAGTGTAGAAGATATTAAAGGACCAGGGAGAATTAGCTTTTAGATTGATTTCCAGTTCGGGGATTGCAAGTTGACAGCACAGGAGCTGTTCCTTGCTAAATATTCCAATACTTTGTACAGTAAATTATAAAATAACATTTCCAAAGCACATCCCAAAAGGCAGAGGGGCAGCAGGCAGCAAACAGCCAAGCAGGGCTCTGCTGCCACCCAGGTTTGATCAGTAGAGCCCTGAACTCCCCACCTGGGGCTCTGCCCATGCAGGAACAGACCCAGATCTGATCCCATTCCCAGGAACTGGGGAACTGCTTCACTTCCCCAAGTATCCACTTACTTCTCTCCACATTTGTCAAGTGTCTGAAATTCTTGGTTTGGGCTGAAGTAAAAGCAGAGCACATCAATCCTTTTAAAATACAGCAGAATCTGCTGGTAATGAGAACAGTGAAGCAGTTATGGTCTGAGCTCTATTCCTTTTATTTATGTAATGCTTTGACTTACCAAAACTGCTTTACAGAAAATTTTGACACAGCCTTATCCTGTCGAAAATTAGAATTTAGGATCTGACATCAGAAATTAAACATATGAAAAACAGCAAGTGAATAAATAAATTTTCCTATTTTGGGTTTAGAAAGAAAAAGAAATCAGAGGAAAATTGATCCAAAGCAGAAGCTGTTGGCTGTTTGGAAGAATTCAAAATTAACAAAACATCCAAATCAAAACAAAGAAGGTCAGCTACATCTTTCAACCCAAGGTGAAGTATTTTGGAACATATTTTGGCAGTTGCCATCTATAAAATAAAATATTTTTCTATGTTATAATGTCATCTAATACTATCTTTTGGTTGAAATAATTCTCCAAATTTAACATTTTAAAAAAATATTTCAGTCTTTTTATTTCCCAGCAAAATCCCTTTATTTGAAAAATTTTATCCATAGAGGACTGAACTGGAATTTCATTTTCAGGTGCTAACCATAAGGATTTGAACCAATAGCTGCTTCCTGGGACAGCTACACACCATGCCTGGGATGTAGACATTCAGTTCAGGAGATGTGAATTTATTCTGTAGAAAAATCTTCAAAGAACATGTTGTGTGGATCAGCACCCTCAAAGCCTCAGCACCAACTTCTTTAGTAACTGATCTTCAATTACTGCACTGATTTATGTCTTCATGTAGCCAGAGCACAGGACATCTCATGGTAACATCAGAAAATACCATCAAATAACAAACAGTTCCTGAAATAATAAAAGAAAACCATTTACAATATGAATTGAAAGAAAACAGGAAGGACACAACTGAAAGTTTAGGAAATCACTGAAGTTACATTTCTTCACAATGGTTTCCTGGTCAAGGCAGGAATTGATATTGCCTGTGTTAGTACAGAGATGTCCCAGCCTCTTTTAGGTGATATTAGATAATATCTTCGTAGTAGACCACCTTGCAGCAAACATATCAAGAGTTTTACTTGGCAGGGAGATTGCAAAACCAAATACTGCAGCTGAGACAAAGAAAATGGCAGCACTCTAATGGGAAACTGTTCTTTTCCTATAAATGTTCTTTTAAGAATTAACATAGTAACTATGAATTCAGCTTAGGATTTTTAATATGACCTCATAAAGTAGTGTCTTGGCCTGGAACAAACTGTGATGTCATATGCAAAATATTCATTACTAATCCACTAATTGAAAACAAAATCCTTTGGAGCCATATGCTAATAATGTCAACATTTCTGCAAGCAAAGAAGAGTCAGAACCCAGCCTGAAAGATAGAAATAGAGAATGTTTAAAATAGAGTTAGAATTTAACAGACTTTCTCATTAAAACTTCCTTTTTTTCCTCCTTTGGAAACTTCTAAGGATTGCTCCACAGGTAGATAAAAACTGTCTGAATAGCAAATTTTCTTTTCTTTATTCAGTGTAAGTCAAGCATCTGATCCTTCATGGGGATCCATCTCCTTGCAAAGAAGACAGCACTAGGCCTAGAAATCACTTAAGTACTATTTTAAGAAATTCAGTACTGAACAAGCTCAGAAAAATCTCAAACACTGATTTCCCTCAGAGTTTTACTGTTTCAGAAGATAAATTCTCAGGCATTAAAAAAGACATTTTGTGACATTTAAAAGAAACAACATCCAGAAACACTGAAGGAAGTAACAATCTCCCTATGTCAAGATTTGGTCTGACTACAAGTCTTAAGTCTGGCTTTGTCAAACAGCTTCAACCATTAGCAAGAGAGCAGCCTTCCATGAAATTCAGGCAAATCAAAATTAAATGTAAGTAATCCTTCATTCCCTGGGGAGGAGATAGGTCTGTTCTGTGAGGTGACACACTAATTTTTTATAATCATAAAATTGTAGCTCAATACCAGGCAATCATATAATTTGGATAGTGATATTTTTAGTTAGTTTGTGCCATTTCAAATAGAAACCAGGCTTTTCTCCTGTTGTGCCTGATAAAACATGAAAATACAACTGTTTAGGGCCAATGACCAAAGAGAGATTTGGGGCAGGGGGTGGAGGGAGAGAAGAGGAAAGTGGAAAAGGAACCTCCAGAAGGATTAGGAATGAATTTAATGAGTTTTGCAGTTTTGTGTACCAGGAACAGAAGACTTCATGGCTTCCTGTGGAGTGTCTTGTCACCTTCCAGAGTCCCAAAATCCTCCAAGTGTGTGCTGGAGGAAACTCCACTTTGGGGTGGCCAGAAGGAGTGTTTCACCTAAGGCTTTAATATCAGCTGTGAGAAACTTGGGTTCTTTCCTGAGTGTTCATGAAAACATGGGCAAGTGGTCTCGAGAGTATTCCAAGTTCAAGTTTATTTACTTTAGTGATTAGAATTAGATGTGCAGAGAATGGCTCTCACATGATAGGGGTGGGGCCATGGTGTAATAAAACAGAACAGCTTTTTAGAATTTACAGATCAAACATGAGGGCTGAACCCATAACAAGCCTCTCTAAATTCCTAAAAAACAACCTTTGGTGAGCTTGAGTATTCCAAATTTCCAGCTCATGCTCTCAGTTTAAGTGATCAATACTGAAATATGAAATCTCCAATTATTCCAAATACACTTTTTTTCTTGACAGGGTGCAATCCATCATGTGAGGATTACAGGCTTTTTCATGTTAGGAAACTGCAAATTTCTGAGATTTCAACATTTATCATTACAACTGGGTGTAGAGATAGACCAGAGTTGGGGGCTGGGTAACACTGGTCTGCATAACCTGTGTGGGCAGTGGTGCCTGTGGTGGGTGCTTGTCCCTGGAGAGAATTTAATGCAATCTTTTGGGCAAACTGTTCAAACAATGAAGAGCAGAGGAGAAAAGGAGCTTTTAAAGAAGTTGCTAGCAGGGGTTTCTACTTAGGACTTCATCTCATGACCTAGTTCACGACTGAAGAGATGCAGATGTTGATGAAACCTTCATAAACATGAAAAAAAATGGAAAATACTGGAGTAAGATGTATTGCCTGAATGACTGGGATCATGGTTTTCATGAGCTTCCCAAGGTTTTAGGAAAACAATTGTGTCAATCTCCTTCATGTGTAGAAGGAAGCATCAGTTAATTTCCCTCTGTCTGACAGGTAATCAGTCAGATGAGAAGATCTATATGTTACAATTGAGAGGCTGCAAATGACAGGATGTGCCTATATGCCAGACAAGTACACAAAGTGTAGCATTAATAATTGTTAAAAGTAAAGGTGATGGCATTAACCAGGAGACAAGGGCATGGAAGCTCTGACAGAAAGGACTGGATTGCTGAAAATGTGAGTTCAGTGTGAGAGATGCAGGTGAAGCATCTGCAGAGAATCTCACATTTTTCTGAAGAGGGAGGGTTCTGATGAAAAATTAATATCTCACTGATGCAGATCCTAAGAGATACTAATTCTGATCTTGTTTTAAAACCAGAAGGCTACAGCTTAAAACCTGAGAATTTTCCAGAAGATATGGACCTGTAAAAGTGAAGCAAATTAAAATTTTCACTTATTTATACATTTTACTTATTTCTCATGGTGTTTTTGTACATTTCCCTCGCCTTACAAACTGGAGGGAAAGGTGCAATTTTATGGTAATTATATGACTGACTTACTTACTAATTTGGAAATACATGCATTGCACACAACACATCAGCCAGTCACGTTAGCAAGGTGGATGTGTTCCAGAGGTAGTATGAATAAATTGTTACCTGCAGTTGCCCTGGTAACTCCTAATTTGTCACTGCATAACAGAAGTGTGTTTAAATAGCCAGAAAACTTTCCTTGAGGCTGCTGCAAAAACACACAAATGTCATTTGCTTTTACTTTGCAAATTGCAAGCATGTCCACGTGTGTACATATGGACATATTTAATAGGAAAAGTTCTTTCCCAACTTAATTTTACCTTTCTTACGGCTATGTAGCTTCAGGCTGTCATCATGGAAAGAAAGCATCTTCTCCAGGCAAAGAAAAGAAATCCTTGTTCTTGCTCTGGAAGAGGAGTCCTCCAGAACCAGCTGTTCTCTTCAAACATCAGCTTTGTAATGACAGCCTTTAAAATTCCACTTTACTGGTCTCCTTTAGATGTTAGGAAGAAAATCTAAAGCAAATGTAAGATTTTTTTAAAATCTTATTTATGCCAGTTCTGATTGAAAATCAGAATGATTCAACACAGCTATTGAATGAAGTCAGTGGTTTGATACTTATCACTCACTGACAGTGAATAAGACTTTTTTAAACATTTCTTTCATGGTTTAAAATAAACAAGGACAGATAAGACTCATTTAAAATACATGTACACCTCCTTATTAAAAAAAAAAATCCACCACCTTTAAAGTTGCTTCTTTCAATGCTTCTTAACAGAAAAACCCAAAACCGAGAAAATGTTTTCATCAAATTTAACAAATAAAAAAGGACCTAATTTTAATCCAGTGACAATCTCAAAGTCTAACAATGAGGTAAAGCATCCATAATTCTATTTAACTCTGCTTGATGTGAAGGTTTTATTTTGTGATCATTTTAGTGCATAAACCCTGATGAATAATGGAATTTTAGAAAAAGAACCCCTATTGAGCCAAGCTTCATTGACATCTGACTGGTAGCCTAAGAGCCTGCAGAGAGGGTCCAAAGCAATGCATCACAGCCTCCCAGCAGGTCATTAAGGCATTACCCAATTAGAAAGCAAGGCTAGGGAACGACATTGTTCACAGCAGAGCAAACATAATTGATTTTTATTTCAACAGGGGGGAGAACCTCCTTACTAAAGAGCTTTAGCATAATTTCTTATTTAGGAGAGGTTTAAAGAGATTTGTGCTGGAGTATTTAATTCCAAACCCTGGGACAGTCTCTGGCAATGTGTATAAATTAAGGGGCAGTTGACTTCACTCATTCATATTCAAAGTAGAGGCTCGCTTGTTGCTCCAAAGTAGCATGAAGGTTTCTGAGCGCTGGCATCCAACACCAGCTGTGCAGGGGCACAGTGCTTGGACCCTCCAAACCTTTATCCAGTTCGTGTAGCTATCAGCAGGCCAGTTTCCTGCTTTGAGGCTCCTCTCTAAGGCACTTTAACATGCTAATGCACTGTGTGTAGTGCACAGCTCTTTAGGAGCACCATGCAGATGGAATTTGCTCCCAAGACATCTTCATCATCCTCCATCTCCTTCTCATCCCATTGTTTCCCCACTGGTTATTTTTAATCCCAATGTCCACAGGCACCACTGGATGGGAATGTTCAGTGACAGTTTGTAGCAAGAAAGGCTCCTAATGAACAACAGCTTGGATTTTCCCAATTCACACTGTTACAGTAACACGGGGAAAATGTTAGCCCTGTTATCTCCCATCTCCTTTTATATGATGCCTCTTTTCATTACAAACCATGCAAGTTAAAAAAAATAAAAAGGTCCTATTGCAAGCACCATACTCCATCTTTGAAAGCAATCAAATCATAAATTCTATAAAGAAATGTTTGTTTTAATTTATTAACACTCAGTGCTTCAATGGCAAGAAATAAGTTTTGAAGAGAGATGGTTTTTTTTTCCCAGTCTTTGCATTTAAGGTCCACTGGAGAAGAGATAGCTGGAAAATGTGATAAAATCCTCACCTTTTATGAGGCCCACAGCAACACAACTGAAGTTCTTGCTGGAAATATTTGTAGATTACTATCTCCAAACTATGTACACAGTAGACTTGAAAAAAACTGTTTTCCTCTATTAGTTTCACTTCAGTGTGCCAAATGAAACACTTAAAAAATTCAAAGGACTTCTTAGCTGCAGTGGCAGAAGTCCATTCCCAACTTCATACTCTGGGTCTGTACCTAAGAATCATGGGACTCATCAGTCTCTAATTTTCTATTTTCCAGCATGTTTCTGACAAAAACAATAATTTTCAACGTGACTTATACCTTAAACACACTTTAAAAAAAATCTTATTTAAAGAAAAACAGGGGAAAAAATTTACACAACACTTTAACTGCAAAGCCTGCCAGCAACACAGTGACAATTTTATTCCACCTGGCTGTTCACAAGCCCACTTTTCTGTCTCATGTAAGCACGCTCCTGAAATACAAGGAAGCAAAGATATGGAGCAAATAATTTTTATAAACACTTACATACTCAGATATATCACAAACCTAGCAGCAGCAAGGGCAATTTAGCAGTTGTTTGTCTTACCATGGCACTCAGGAGCCCCAGGCACAGATTGCCACCCCTTAGTGCTCCTCACAACACACATCAAAGCAGCAATCCCTGACCTGAAAAATCCTCCTGTAAAAATTTATACCCAAGACCAGCTGTTTATGAGTTTATACATATATTCACAAGTCTGTGTCCCTTTTTTAACGTTGGCATCAAAATCAATTTTTTCCTGTTGTGCAGATCAACACAGGTATAAAATTTCAGCAGCAGCAGCAGCCATATATTTACTGTGCACTGCTGCTCAGTCAGGTAGCAGCAGAGTTAGGAGGTTTTTCTGAGGGCTGCCAAGTGCCCATCTTACAAAAGACCAACATTCTCTCTTCCTTGAGTCAGGAGGACTATGACTAGAATCTTCTTCCATGGACATTTTACCAGAGATAAATTCACTGTCAGTTAGCATTCAGTTATTCAAATCTACCCACACGTAACTGACTAAAGGATCATTGCTTCCACCATTTCAGTGCTTGAAAAAAACTTTTAAATTAATTCTGAAAAATAAAAATCAATGCATAAAGCTGTGGGGTCATTTTTGTTAGTTACTACTACAGTCAAATCTCCTACACCCCAAACCCTTTTAGCTGTAGCTAAAATTCCTGGGAAATTATCTTAACTCACAAAGACATTCCCACCAACAGACCTGGTAAAAAGCTGCCAAAAGCCATTCTTAATACAGAAATTAGCTAGATCCACAAACACACAAAAGGATTAAGCTGATCCTAACTTCTAAAACAAATCATCTGAGCCAGTGGTTTATCCTTCTCCATTTGTGAACATCTAAATGTTTTCTAGCTGTAACACAGATCCAGTACCATCCACCATAATAACGTTTCTTTTTCTTAGGCTTGTTACCACTGTCATGTATGTCTTGAGAACAGTCACTGACAAAGAGGGGATTTTAGCCCCAGGGTGGGCTATCACCACTCAGGGAGTGCATTTGAAGTAGGGAGAGATATTAACCAAATATCTGGAGAGCATGTTGGAGTAAGGTGAAAGCTTTAAACTCTCTGAGCCCCTCACACCCAGCCCTGCCTTTCCTCTGCACTGACTGCGCCACTGAACCAACAAAGATTCAGGGGTGCCCTGTGCAGCCAGGAAATGTGCAAGAACAGCACCACATGCTGAAAGCCAGACACAGGCAGAGGAAAATGCCCTTTCCAGCTTTAAGAAGGATAAGTGGAATGGCTTACATCTGGAATTAATAGGTCTCTCGACTTAACGAAAATAGGCAATGCATGTTTTGCATGCTAGGTTAGAGTGTTTTGATTCGTAATGAGGAAAGAAAGTGTAGAATATACTGTACACGTTCTCTCACAGGTGTGTGATGTGTGGGCTGGAAAAATTGGGCTAATTTTAGAACTTTCACCTTGTTAAATGTTTCTGGAGTTTAACTTTGTAATAGGAGACATGCTGATATTATGGTCCTTGGGCATTCCTCACCAGTGAGGAAACAGAGGGAAATGATCTGAAAATTCAGTGCTTAAAATTATAACTATAAATTATACTGTAACTTCAGTTCTTTAAAAATGCTTATTTTACTGGAGGATGTTGACCAAGGCTGTGTTTTTCTCTGAGGAAGAAATGCTGCAGTTCACCACAGTAAATCTGCATGCTGGAACTTAACTACATGAACAACCATTACTTAATCTATAAAATTCTTCTGTAATATTCAGTAAATTGTGTGCTGTTGAGATCTTAAAAATAACTCTTGGGAAACTATTCAAATTTGATTTTACATTTTACATAGTATCCTTTAGTTCCCCTTCTGTAACCTTCCTTTACATGCTCACTGGCTAACTGCATGTTCCATGCTGAACATGAATGCACAATGTATGTACTGTGTTTGTATCTGTACTAATTGAGAGACTTAATTTCAGAGAGAAAAGAGCATGAAGAGTCACTTGAACATAAAAAAGCTGCAAGGACATCAATAATGGGGCAACACGGAAAATGTCTCCTAAACAGAAGCTTCGTTTTTCTTTAGTGTCCATCAAAATATAAAACCAAAATATCAAATGAACCAGTGAGAAAACTGACATGAAAAATTTAAGTCACCAGGTTACAGATCATGGGCTTAATCAATATTACATAACCAGGTCAATGTTTTGGGTTCAAGGATTTATCCAGCCTCGTGACAGCTACGTTCACAGATAACTGTGAAAAGATACCCAGAGGTTCATTCATCTCTTCAGTGTTTTGGGGCCAAAATCTTGGTGCTGAAGTGCTCAAACTCCACAAATTTAGGAGATGCAAAGTGTCCAGTAGTTTTATACAGAGCAAGAACCAGAAAGCAACATTGACAATTTAGCTCCAGGTTGGGAAAGGGTACAGGTAAGGAAGTGCAGTCACAATCTGAGCAGTAATAAAGCGGAAAAGGATACCAGTAAAATGTAAAATCTTTTCTTTGGCCCAGTACAGTACAATCAAAGAGGAGATATATGCCACCAAGCAGCACTTCTGATCATGCAGCCAAGTCCCTTTAAAGGGTACAATGAGGTGCATCCTGCAGCCCCATGGAAAGCAGATGGCACAGTAATGACCCAGGGCCTGTGAGTGTTTGAACCTGCTTTTGGTGCCACGTCCAAAGTTCACTGGTGTCACATCTGTCACGTGCCCCAGCACTAAACCAGGCACACAAAAAACATCAAGCATGAAAGTGGTCAGGAGTCAGATGGGGCCTTTCCTGTGAATGAGGATAGTCAAGAAGAGATTTGCCTAAAATTGTTTCAAGCCTAAGGAGTTCATGGAAGAGGGCCAGAGTTTACCAGAGCATTTGTCAGAAAATGGTGCACCACTCTGAGCATCTAACTCATAACTAATATATTTCTCTAATATATTACACATTAGAGAAAATTTTATCTAAAAGATAAAGACAGAGAAAGCAAGGCAGAAAATACAAGTTTTCCAAATT